ACTCTCACTGACCAATTTCGTTAAGAAAATACTTGTGAACTCACACCTGTAACTTAGTACTTTCTTATATTAGTTATAACTTTTTTTTCTTTTTATTAGAATAAAGGGGGGAAATGTGGTGATATTTTACCTGGGCTGAAATGTGATATTTTATTTGTAAGTTAGTAAATAAAGTTGCCTGGAGACGGTGAAGTGCAGACACCAAAGCGGGAGGCTTGTGAGTTTGAGACCAACCTAGTCTACGTGGGAAGACGCTGTCTCAACAACAAAAACAGAATACATTCGTACTTCCCTTTGTACCAGCCAGCTGTGGCTTGCTCCCAGTTCCACCACAGTCTTCTGGAACAACTGTAGCCTGGGTAGAAGATCTGTAAGACTTTCTTAATGCTGAACCGTGTAGAGGACTGTTGTCACTCATGGCGGCATACCAGTTGAGGGGGACGTAGCAGAATTCAGTTCCCATCTGACTTTCCTCGGGTCTGTGTATTTTTGGTCAGTGCACCTTCTCCCGGTTAACCGTGCCTTGCCCATTGTCTTTCTTCGGGTGTGGAGTGGGGTCCGGGTAGCTTTGTTCTGCGCTTCATTCTCATCTGGAAATGAAGGCCTCACCTAAGGCCACCATCCTCCTAGTACTTTTGTAATAGGCTCTTAACCTCAAGCCACACCAAGATGGCTTCATGTGGGATTCAAAGGTGTAAGGCTCTTAGGTGGGAGAGGGAAGGCTGTGGAAGGCAGGGCACTTGTGTGTTTTTGAGCAGTTATCCCCATAAAGGGATGTCTTACATTTTGAAAGGAACCATACAGAATAGCACACATGGAGCCCACTTTTCATAGTGATGCAACCTCTAGACCAGAGGCCACGATAGCCGTTCCTCGTCCCCTGCTGTCTTTGCATTTGAGGACAATAGATCCTTGTTCCTGGAAATGTATAAGCATGAAGTCTTTCCTTTCAATAATATAAGTGGAATGTTTATAAATTCTAAAATTAACTTGAAAATATTGCCTCACTCTTCTGGGGAAAAAAAAAATCTTTAAGCGGCTTCAGCTGTTTGGAACATGGCCCCAAACCTGAGAAGACAATTAAAAAGAACAGTAATCAAGTACAAAACAGTAAAGCAGACTCCTGAGGAAGTGAACTGCCCCTTCCCCAATGCTGTCTCGGGGCTCCTACCTCACCCACACAGCTCAGTGACTGAAAACGTTGGTGACATCCAAACAACGCCACACCCAACTGCAGGCAGCCAAGGCAGAGGACAGGGCAGCATCGTTACTCAGTCAGGGAGGGCATGTTTCAGAGGGTAATGGGCTCACTTTGTGCTGCCGAGCGATCTGCTCTCCTAAGCCGTCCCATGTGAGGTGCCAGGTTGTAGGTAAGAGTGGTCAGATGCTCCAACATTCGTATGCTCAGTGAATAAATGTTCAACACACAATAAGCAAGACAGTCGGGAAGCAACAGTAAAGGAGTAAGCAGCCTGAGTTTCATGTTGCATCACATGGTGTGAAAGTAAAGAGATCTGTGACAGCTGTAGCTAAAAATGGGTTTTGGAGCCGTCTGTGGTGGCCCATGCCTTTAATCCCAGCACTCGGGAGGCAGAAACAGGCAGATCTCTGAGTTCGAGGCCAGCCTGGTCTACAGAGTGAGTTCCATGACAGCCAGAACTGTTACACAGAGAAACCCTGTCTCGAAAAACAACAGAAAAAAGGCGGGGGGGGGGGGGGGGGGGGGGGGGGGGGGGATGGGATGGGGGGCGCGGGGAATGGTTCAAGTCAGACCAGATTAGAGCCGCAAAGCCTTGGTGCAATCTCAGTGAGTGGTAAGAAGAGTGGCATCACCCTCGTAGAGGAAATGACCTGGAAGGACAGGAGCAAGAGCGAGCCCACCCTGCGTCGGCAGTACTGCTCACAACTGAAGGTGCCCAAGATTGAGCATGGGAGTCGGTGTGTGGGCTCCTGCTTTGGAGACCTTGCAAAGCAAGTGAGACACAAAGTCTAGTTTCCCCGGTCCCCTCGTACCCAACATCAGGGGCATCGTAGTTTAGAAAGGCTCTGTTAAGTCGGGGAAGAGCTTTTGTTAGTGATGAAGTGAGAATTCACTGAAGACTTGAGAGAAAAGCTGATACGTGGTGAAAGTCTTTTTGAAAACTGACTAATGCATGTGTTCAGCAGATTAAAGAGGAAAGACCGGCTCCTGGGATTAAACTCAGAGGTTACCTTGTTAATCTAGAGAGGTAGGTAAGAGTCTGGAGCTGGTGAAACTAGGTTAAAGGAACTCAGCATGAACCTTGAAAACGCTGTGCTGAGTGAGAGAACACACACACACACACACACACACACACACACACACACACACACACACATTGTATATGGTTCTGTTCCTATGAAATAGCTTTAGAGGGGCAGAAAGTAGATTATTGAGTCCTAGAACTTGGGGAAATAGAGGACGATGGCAGTGGAGACTTAACTGCTACATTTGGGAGCTGGAGGGAGGGCTGGTTGTAGTGAAGTATACAACTCTATAAATAAACCAAGGTTTAAATTTAAATAGCTGAGTGGTGTGGTATATGAATTATATCTCAATAAAGCTGTTATTTCCAAAAAGTGAGAGAGGGAATCAATAAAACACAATGAATGAATGACAGGATATCTGTGTTTGATGGAAATGAATCACTCACGGTCAACACGTAATTTCCAACTTAGATATCAATGAAATAGCAAGAACTTCTACTAACACTATTATTACTTGAAATTTGTGCTTCTAGAATACCCCCAAGAATCGTATAGATATGATTATCATCAGTGAAAATTCAGTAGCACGATTCTTTGTCACTGAACACAAATATCCTATTATTCTAGCAACAGCTAAAATAAAATTCAAAAATTTAATCTTGAAATAGTCTAAAAGTAAAATGGAGTGGCTTCTTGAGAGGATAAACTGATTCTTATTAGTTAATAAATGAAATGTTAGTAAAATGGAGGTATGTAGTGGGTTTTTTTCAAAAGGCCACTAGTTTCCCCAGGTAGGAGTAAATATACATCACTGACCTTATCAAATCAGTGAAATATTTCAGGAGCCTTCAAAATCGTCATCCTCTTGTCCCGATGAGTTCTAGATGGAGAAGAAACTTAGATCATGATCTCTTTCAGACCCTGGAGGAGAACCTGTGTCTTCCTGGGGTCACTCCTCACCTCCTCACCAGGATTTCAGACATTACATCCTTGGACCTCTGTCTCAATGAGTCATTAATCGTGATTGCTCAAGGAGGAGAAAAGGAACCTAAACTCAGCAGGATTGTCACCACAGTGTAGAATCAGTGCTGTGACACGGGAAAGTGTTTGGTGGTTGGGCATTTCCTAGAATGCGCATTTCATGTGTTGGTGGTTATTGAAGTTAACAGTCCCCGGGAGAACAGAGCTGGGAGAGGTTTGTCTAGTATACGTACAGCTTTCTATAGGTTCTGGGGGAAGAGAGGTGAAGAGTGGGAGAGCGCATGCTGGTCCAGCTCAGAAAACAACCATCGTAATCTCTACCCTCTCTATCAGGAAAAGGTCCATCTCTAAAAAGCAGTAAAGGCAAAGCCACAGTATACAGAGTGGCAACTCAGCATCTCTGCCTTGTTCCCTCCCCTGCGTTGACCATTGTGGTATTGTTCCCAATGCTTAAAATCCTCCTCCATTTCCAGCCTCATTTTCCTATAAAAAATTGCCTTCCTTGAAGTCTTCTATTTTGAATTCCCAGTCATTATGCTTACCCATTTATCTGGGTGTGATTACTGTGTCTCACTTAGGTGTTAATTGGAGGTAAAATTGTCATTTGAACTAGGTACTTATTAGGAAAAAAAAAAAAAAAAAGGTATCCAGGTAGCTATTCCTAGTTATTTCTAGCAGTCTCTAAGTGGACTTCATCTTTTTTCCTGATATCAAAATCAGCATATAAAGAGTCATTAATGGTGCAGAAATAAAGGGCAGACTTTTGTCTTACTGGTGTGTGAGGTGTTGAAGTCTTTGAAGCCTGTGAATAGTAGTTAAGTACAAGGTGATGTGACTGCCATGGGTTCCAGACTCATGGGTTTTGTAGGCCAGCAAGTAAAGTGACATCAGGGAGAGGTGACAGGCACAGCCATGGCACATGGTGGGCCCCGCTGCCCTGTGGACAGCCCATGCCTTGTCGGGAGCATGCAACGAGGGTCCTTATCATGCTAGAATTCAGGCTAGTTTTGCAAGGTCATTGGTTCTTTTCAAAAGTAGACAAAAGTTGCTGTTTTGTATTGTTACTGCTGCTCTTAATGTGAAGACCTCCATTTTTTAAATGTGCTCATTAAAAAAAAAAAACCTTAGAAATTGAAGATTACAAGCTGAAAACGGCCCTCAAAACAGGTTATACCTCTTTTTGTTTTTCAAGACAGGGTTTCTCTGTGTAGCTTTGCTCCTTTCCTGGAACTCACTTGGCAGTCCAGGCTGGCCTCGAACTCACAGAGATCCACCTGCCTCTGCCTCCCGAGTGCTGGGATTAAAGGCGTGAGCCACCACCGCCCGGTGGTTACACCTCTTTAAATGATTACGTTTACCAGCAGCAAGAGAAAGCCACTCTTCTGTATTTGCGGCGTGTTCGTGGGGGAGAGAGTGGAGATGAAGTCACATTAATTCATCAGAGGAAAGCTGTGCTGCTGACCTAGGCCTCCGAGCCCGTGCTTCCCCTGCGTGTCCTAGTAAACTGCCAGCCTCCTACTCTGAACTTGGTCTCCCCAGGTCGGTCTCCCCATGCCCCACACCACACTGCAAAAACAGGAACCCAGAAGGAGCCTGGGCATCCTTGTTTCCAAGCTCCAGTGGATAAACCGGTTCCCTTGGAGCAAAGTCCTGGGCCATTTCCCCCTTGAGCTGCTGGGAAATTATAATTAGAGGTTTTCCTGTTGTAAGGGAAAGGTACCCCTTCCCTTCCCGCGTCTGCAAGACTCGTGTTCTCAATGCTGTGCTTCCCTGTCCTGTCTCTCTTTCTGCAGGTGATAGAGGGCAAGCTGGCTCCGTTCTTGGGCAAGGTCATTAAATTCGCCACCTCACACGTCTACAGCTGCAGTCTTTGTAGCCAGAAAGGGTTCATCTGCGAAATCTGTAACAATGGCGAGATCCTCTACCCCTTTGAGGACATTTCAACAAGCAGGTACAGACTATCTCGGCCTATGGAAATGTATCCCAGGGTCACCTGCGCTTTCGTCCGGCAGCTTTGGGCTGAGCTGTCTTCCTTACACCCACCTGTCGTCAGGTTCCTCTAGTTACTGGAAGACAGTTTTCCCTCCTGGCTTCCCATTTGTTTCCAACCCTTGTCCTCCATCTTTATGCAGAAGGAGCCCACAGAGCTGCAAAGGAGTGCTGCCTCACTCTAGCTTATTAGGTAACGAACTGTGTGTTCAGATTCAGTCTTGGAATAGAGTAGGGAAGAAGACTCCTACCCAGCTTTCCAGAGCCAAATGATTAGAAATGGGAAATAATGGAGACTCTGTCTCAAAAAAAGCCACAAAAAAAAAAAAAAAAAAAAACCAGCAACAACAAACAGAAATGGGAAAGGGCCTCCTCAAAGGAAGGCCAAGCCTAGATTGACTGCTCGAAACTGCAACTCAAGGCCCTGGTGAGGAGCACGTTTTCCAGACAAGGCAGAGATGAAAGTTTTAGGGCCCAAAGACAGAGAAGTGGAAGTTCATGGGGCTTAGTTTTCTAACCAAAGTCATATTTGGGCCTTAGCACGTCTCTGGCAGATGGACAGCTTTCCCACAGACTTAGATCAGTTTTGACTATGGCTTCTCTAGACTCGCAAAAACAATACATAGCACTTTTCCTTTCATCCCAGAAACATGATAGAAATACTCACTGTGTGTGCACTGGCTTCTTTGGCCATAAATGTCATGGCTCATTTCCACCCTGCAAAGCTCATTTACATTGTGGTTCAGAGCAGATAGGAGGCGTGCAGCCAGGATGAGCATGTAGAGCAGTGCTGACATGGTGAGCATTGACTCAGCCCTTGGCCACTTGTTAAACCCAAAGACGATTTACAAGCTTTCAGGAACTCGGGTTAGCCCATACGTAGAAGGACACACAAATGCAAAAAAAAGTGTCCTGAGTGTGGATCCTTTGCTTTTTTAGATACACACTCATAACATAAGAACTTATACACAAGTGGTCATAGCAAAGCATGTATAGTATCATAAAAAAGGAAACAACCTAAATGCTTATCAGCTGACGAAGAAACAAAGTTTGATGTATGTCCCCAGTGAACTATTCTTTAGCCTGGAAAAGTGATGTAGAATTGTTGCATGCCACAATATAGACTTAACAGAAACTGGATGCAAAAAGCCACATTTTATATGATTCCCTTTTTATAGAATGCCCCAGATAAGGATATCCAAAGTCAGCCTGTGTTTGCCTGGGGCTTGAGAGAGGGATAAAGGCTTCTAATGAACACAGGGGTTTTGATGATGCAAATGTCGTAGGCGTAGATTGCAGAGATGGTCACACAATTTTGTGATTGCTAAAACTCATGAATTAGAGGCCTTGGGGGCCAAGCTTTATGGCACACGAGTGATACTGTGATAAAAATGAGTAATAAAAATTAAGATGCTTCTAAATGAATAAGCCATATGTTGGGTCACAAAACAGATCTCAGTAAGCTTAAGGAGACTGAAATTACACCGTGTGTGTTCTCTTGCACATAGAATTAAAACTCCACACTAGGAAAAGGGCTGGAGACCCATGAAATGTTTGGAAACTAAGCAGTGCCCTTCTAAATTACTCCTGGGGTAAAGGAGCAATCACAAGGGAAATTTTTGAAGTATTTTTAAGTGAATGAAAATGAAATATGTGCATATGGAATGAATATGTAAAAATATTCTTTTTTTAATAAAGAATGTTTTTGAATAAAGAAATGTTAGGCCGCCTGGTTGTGGTGGCAGTGGTGGCACACGCCTTTAATCCCAGCACTTGGGAGGCAGAGCCAGGCAGATCTCTGTGAGTTCGAGGCCAGCCTGGTCTACAGAGTAAGATCCAGGACAGGCTCCAAAGCTACACAGAGAAACCCTGTCTCGAAAAACCAAAAAAAAAAAAAAAGTTGAATGTTAGACCAACAGGTTTGCCCAGCCTGTGGCTCATGGCCTGTGGTCCACATGAGGCTGCATGAAGCCAAGGACAGCTATGAATGCAGCCCAGTGCCAAACTGTGAACTTACTTGAAACATTGTGAGATTTCTCTTTTCTTTTTCTTTGTTTTTTTTTGGGGGGGCGGGGGTGGGGGGCGTTCAAGACAGGGTTTCTCCGTGTAGTTTTGGTGCCTGTCCTGGATCTCGCTCTATAGACCAGGCTGGCCTCGAACTCACAGGGATCCACCTGGCTCTGCCTCCTCCTGTATGCTGGGATTAAAGGCGTGCGCCACCCCTGCCCGGCGAGATTTCTTTTTTCATTTGACTGGTTCTTGAACCTGAACTTTGCAGATGACAGTGTCATATCTCAGTGTCAGAAGAAGAATAGGTACACCTGGCTTAGTGGAACTTAGAGCTATAAACATCTGTAGTTGAAAAAAGGGAAAAGGATCTCAATTAGTAGTCTAAACATACACTTCAAGAAACTAAAGAACAAAGAGCCCCAAACAAGCACAGAGAAGAATATAGATTCAAATTCATAGAAATTCAAAGAGACTTTTAACAAGCCAGAAAATGACTAATTTTAAAACCTCCCAAACAAAGGCCACATGACTTTACCTGTGACTCTTCTTGAATATTTAAAAAATAATAATAGTACTTCACACAAGAACAAAGGAGGCAATCCTTTAAAAAAAGGAATTGACTTTATGCATGCACGTGCGCGCACATACACACACACACACACACACACACACACACACACACACACACACACACACACACCCTTAACGTGTACTGATAGAACTTCAAGGAGAAATAAATGGGTCTGCTGTGGCAGAGATGTCAGTCCTCTGTCGAGGACAGCTCCAGCAGGCAGAGACTCGGAGCAAGCATGTACTTAAACCAAACAGCACTGTTCGGCCCAGGAGCTAACTGACATCTACAGAATACTGCACAGACAACACAAGAATGCATGTTCTGGTCAAGCACATGTGGAGCATTCGCAGGAGACAGCATTGTGAGGCATAGAACACACCTGAACACCGGGCCGTGGTGGCGCACACCTTTAATCCCAGCACTCGGGAGGCAGAGCCAGGCAGATCACTGTGAGTTTGAGGCCAGCCTGGTCTATAGAGTGAGTTCCAGGAGAGGCGCAAAGCTACGCAGAGAAACCCTGTCTCGAAAAACCAAAAAAAAAAAAAAAAAAAAAATACCTGAACAAATTCTACCTACTAGAAATCATTCAAAGCATGTTCGCAGATCACGTCTTGAACTAGAAATCAGGAACGGGGTAAGGGAAATGACTTAGTGGGTAAGAGTGCTTCTGTGCAAGCCACCTGACTTTGAGTCCCCAGTACTCACATAAAAGCTGGGCCTGGCCCTGTGTACCTTTAACCCCAGTGCCTGGGGTTGGAGGAAAGCCAAGATAGACAAGTCCTGAGAACTCACTGGCTAGCAAGCCTAGCTGAAATGGTAAGCCTCAGGTTCAAAAAATAAAAGTGGAGAAAGACAGAGGAAGATATCCATTGTCCTCCACTGGCCTCTGCATGCATCCATGTAGATACATGGACCCACATACACGTGTGCATATATACTCCTCACACACAATTGAAATCAGTAACAGAAAGATGTGAGAAAAATCCAAGAGCATTTGGCAATTAAAAAAAGCTTCTCAATAACATGAGCTGAATAGGTATGTTCATATGAAAACATGCACATGGATGTTTATAGAAACTTTATTCCTAATTATCCAAAACTATAAGCAACCATGAGCCCATAAGTAGGTGAGTGGTAAACAATGACATTGTTTGACATTCTAGAAAATGGAGAATTGGAGAGACAGTAAAAAGATCACTAGTTGTCAAGATTCTGGGCTGGGAAGGGTAACTAGTAAAACAGATTGTGGAATTATTCTGTTTGATGCTGTAGTTGTGTGAACATGACATTATCATACACATTTGTCAGAACCCATAGAACCAGACAGTACAGAATGAACTGAATTTAAACTGTAGACCTTGGATAAAATAACATGTCCGTACTGGTCTGTTAACTGTAACAGTGCCGCACTGCCACAGTGAGGTCGTGTAATGGGAAGATAGATGCCGGTGTCAGTGATTCCGACTAAGGAGCTCTGATGATCTGTGACTCTAGCACTTCCGAAGGTATCTAGAGTGTTAGAGGCTTTGTCCATGTGAGTGGTTGACTCCAAGATCAAGATGGAATAGTTTTGTTTGTTTGTTTGTTTGTTTGTTTTGGAGCTGAGGATTGAACCCAGGGCCTTGTGCTTGCTAGGCAAGCGCTCTACCTGTGAGCTAAATCCCCAACCCCAAGATGCAATAGTTTTAAACCAACTTTCTTAGAACAGAAAACTTGCAAGGATAGTGCAGTTTCCACACACTGCACACCCCACCGTCCATCTCCAGCTTCCTCAACCTAACACGAGCATGCTGCATCTGTGGAACTAGTAAACAGTGAGTCACCATTAGCTGAGCTCTGTGGCTTGTTTTTTCCATAGTTCCTTAGTTTTTGCTGAATCCGTTTTCTATTCTAGGATAGTACATTACATTTAATTTTCATATCTTCCTAGACTAAGCTATGACAGTGTCAGAGATTTTACTTATTTTGATGATCTTGACAGTTTTGAAGGATACTATTGGGTATGTCTGTTTGGGGTGTTGTTGTTGTTGTTTTAAGAGTAGAGTTAGGGCAGGCATGATTGGGCATACCTGTAATCTCAGAAACTCAGAAGCCAAGGCAGGAGATCGCCACAAGTTCAAGGCAGCCCCGAGCTACATAACAAATTCCAACCAGCCTGGGCAACATAGAGCAAGACCCAGTCTCTAAAAATAGCAGCAACCGAGTTAGACTAGGCTTTATGCATTCAGAGGAGACTGTGGAAGTAAAGTACCATTTTCATCACGTGACAAGCACATCACCGTCATGGCTTACCGCTGCAGGGTCAGTGCCAGGCTCCTCTTCTGAGAAGTTACTCTTCTTCCTCTCATACCATCCTCTTTGAAAGGAACCACATGGGA